ACTTCCGGGGCAAGGCAATACAGGGTGCTTCCCATTCTCTTAGTATATTTCCGCTTGGCGCGAATACCTTCCGCGATCTACCTATGCCCGTCCTCCAAAACCAGAGAACCTTCCACTCCTGCTCTTCCCTGAAAGAACCCCCCACCCCCCAACATCCGTAGTTGATCTTAAACAAAGCAGAAGGGAAGTGTAATGGTCAGCACACTCCCTAGAAGCAAAAGCTCTGTAACCTCTTAAGACCAAAACATCGAAGAAACGCGTAATGGCCAGAATACCCTTTGAAAGAAAGTTATTTCGATACTAAAAAGGATTCAGAAACATGCATGGCTAGGAATACTTTGCAAAGTGAAAGTTATTTCTTATGCTGCTTCTAAAAAAAACATCTAGGTCGTGGGTGAATAACAGGAATACCCTTGAAAGAAAGTTATTTCTCTTCTTCTCGATAACTAAAAAAAACATCTAGGAAACGCGTAATGGCTAGAATACTCCCTTTAAAGAAAGTTATTTCCCTCCGTGGATACTAAAAATAATCGAGTAAAACAAGTGTAATGGCTAGAATAATTTCTTGAAAGAAAGTTATTTCCTCTTCTTCGATACTTAAAAAACATCGAAGAAACGCGTACGGCTAGAATACCCTTGAAAGAAAGCGATTTCCCTCTTCGATACTAAAAAACATCTAGGAAACGCGCGCAATGGGCCAGAATACCCTTGAAAGAAAGTTATTTCCTCTTCTTCGATACTAAAAAAACATCTAGGAAACGCGTAATGGCTAGAATACCCTCGAAAGAAAGTTATTTCCTCTTCGGGGATACTAAAATAATCTAGGAAACGCGTAATGGCTAGAATACCCTTGGAAAGAAAGTTATTTCCTCCTCTTCGATACTAAAAAAACATTCAGGAAACGCGTAATGGCCAGAATACCCTTGAAGAAAAAAGTTATTTCCTCTTCTTCTCGACATTTCAAAACATCTAGGAAACGTAATGGCTTGAACACCCTGAGAAAGAAAGTTATTTCTCCTTCTTCTCGATCACTAAAACATCTTAGGAAACGCGTAATGGCTAGCAGAATTACCTTGGTGCGGAGCTATTTCCTCTTCTGATACTAAAAAAACATCTAGGAAACGCTGTAATGGCTGTGAACAAACCTAAAGATAAACATGTAGCAAGGCATGTTATATAAACACATGTTATGTTAGCACAGCAAATAAAGCAGTATATGGTATACAGAAGAAAGATATAAGAAAGTTATTTCCTCTTCTTCATACTAAAAAACATTCAGGAAACGCTGCAATGGCTAGAATTACCTTGAAAGGAAAGTTATTTCTCTCTTCGATACTAAAAACATCTAGTGTCCTGCAATGGCTAGAATACTCCTTGAAAGAAAGCATTCCCCTCCTTGGGACAATAAAACATCCCCAAAACCTCGGAACGGCTATAAATACTCCTTGAAACGATATTTTCGGCCTTGGCCCTTCGGGGAAAAGGCGAAACGATAGAGTCTGGTGAAAATTTTCAAGCCTCCGGACTACGGTAGCTTGGGGATCGCAGTGGGATTGAAATTCCGGTCGGGCGGTCGGTTCGGGATCGCCGACATTAGAGTCTGGAGTATATAGTAGACCAGGTTCTAGCTACCTTTTCCATGGAATAATAGCTCATTTTGAAGAGCTAAAAATTCTCTACAAAATGCACTATTCAAAATCGAGTAAATGACTACGGGAATCGAGACATAGTTTGTCTAAGTTCAAGGTTTCGCCGGACCGGCAGTGTCGAAAGGCATAAGTTTATTGAATGCTAAGTTTTTAGAAACTCTTAACGTTAACCGATACCTAATTTGAAACAGCGACAAATTCTCCACACAAAATAGATCATTGAAAATTTGGTTAATTAGTGAGTTAAGACGAGAGAGGATTATTTTAGTTTAGCGATATTTTTTGCGGAATTCACGACTAGCCAAGAAGCGTAAACTACAAGTTTTGTGAAACATCATTTTTAAAATTTTCGGGTCAATTAAAAGGAAATAGCGCCGGCTCAGCTAGTCGCACCAATCCGGCAATAAGGGACTTTACACGTGTAAAAACAATTGATCTACTCTAAATCTAAATTTTGGATTTTATTTGGTATCGAGTGGCTCTGGGATTACCGAGCTCCCACGACAGCACCAATTCTTCCTTGGAGAAAACATTGAATTTTGAATCATGAAATTTCATAAATTATTCAAAAACCCGGATGCTCTGCTCGATGTGCCAAGCCCTTTCTAGGTTGCTGAATAGAAAAGCTCAGCAATCCTTTTTTTGGAAGAATCGGATACCTTAATTAATAAATAGCGCCAACAGTTTTTCAATTAAATTAGTTTCATTAAATATCTTTTTAAAGATACCTGAAGAACGGCGGCTGGTCCATGAGTGGGGGTTCTTCGGGGATTTCGGTCTTTGTCCTCTCCTTCTTCAGCTTCTTCGACTGATCGGTCGGCTCGGTGTCGGCCTTCTTCACCTGCAAAACCAAAAAGTTGAAAAATAGCATGAAACAATAAAATTTCTTATTTAATTTTCCAGCATTTCTAGAATGTTTCAAAAATTCCCAAAACTACCGAACTTTTTGAAATTTTTAATTTCGCTCATCCAGCAAGTTTCAATTCTAAAAATTACAGCATACCTTCTTCTTCGGGGCTTCGATGACGAGCTTGGCCTGGGTCTCGATGGATCCAAGATCATTTGTGGCGCGGCAAGTGTAGATTCCGGCGTCGGTTTCTTCGATATTCTTCACCGTCAGCTCGGCAAGGCCATTAAGGTAGCGCGTGTTGTATTTGGGGGAATTTGTTGGTAGTTCCTTGTCTCCCTGGAAATTAAAAATAGTCTAATCGTCGCCATTAAATCCCTAATTACTTTAAGGATACCTTAAAAAAATCTGGAATAAATATAAATATAAAAATAATTAAAATTAAATTAAAAATACCAAAATCTTACAATGCTCGATCTTAATAGATATTAAAGGAACCTAAGGATTTTAGATGCCGTAAAGGTCTGGAATACGATAAAAAATTATTTTAAGGATACTTTTGAATTGAGCTTAAAAAACATATATACCTTGAACCAGCGGATCCTTGGCGCCGGCATTCCTTCGACGTCGCACGACAGCGTCGCGATCAGGTCACCAACATTTGCGAAAATGTCCTCGAGACGTTTTCGGATGATTGAGGTGCGCAGTCGGTGTCTGGAAATTTGTGGATTTATCACCCCAAATGATATGTGCCAGCCTGCCCCAATACAAATGTTTTGTTAAAAATGATGTTAGGTAAATTGCTAGCTTTAGTCTGAAAGTTGGTGCTACAGTCAGTCCAATCCATTCGCGCATGCGCTTATTTTCTCGTAAATGACCTGCTGCCGCTGCCAATTTCTCTTCTTCAAACACCAATAACCTCTGCTAGCCCCCCCTCCCCTTCTTTCTCAATCCCAAATGATCTTTGCTAGCCTGCCCCCTCCCCTCTCTCTCATCCCAAATGATCTCTGCTAGCCTGCCCCCTCCCCCTCTCTCTCATCCCAAAAGATCTCTGCTAGCCTGCCCCCTCCCCTCTCTCTCCCCTCATCCCAAATGATCTCTGCTAGCCTGCCCCTTCCCCCTCTCTCTCATCCTAAAAGATCACTGCTAGCCTGCCTCTTGATCCGTCTGTATGCCTCAAAGATTCTCCGCTAGCCGGCCAGCCTACCGAAAGAGATATTCCGCTCGAATACTCCGTCCATCGACAGTCTCCTGAAGATGGCTCCCCGCTTGGCGAGGCGTCCAATCGGCAGCAGATCGTCCGACCAGCGCTTGCGCGCCATGAAGTCGCGCTTCTGGCGGAGCGGCACTTTTCCGCGGTATTTCGGGGCGGATTTCTAAAACGATAAAATAATTTTATTTAAAAATTTTGTATTTTTTGTAGTTTCATTCTTATTTTTGGATAGATAAAAATTTGCGTTTCACCATAAAAGATGAATGGGATCGTTTAAAAAGCATAATTGTGATCTTGATTTCGAAACAGTATAGAAGCTATTTCTGGGTTTTTTTATTATAAAGCCATTCTACATTGCCCCATCATAATCTGTCAATAAGCTAATCAAGGAGGTAATTTAAAATTAGAGTAAAGGTTAAAGTCATCATTACCAAGAAGCTGCAAAATTTACGGCAGAAACGATGTTTCGCCCAATTGCCTATCCCAAAAAATTTATTCCGGTACGATACATGGTTACAAGATATTATTTGATAGCCCTTTGTAAAGCAAGTAATTTTAGGTATCAGTAACCAGTAATAATGGAATACCGTAATCTTAAACGCAATATTTACCCGTTACGAAGCTACGACAAATTTATATATTACAAAAATGGAAATTGATGTTTCGCCTAGTTCCAAATAACAAAAAAGTTGCCATGCCACGATTCCGCTTCTTTATTAGCTGCGAATTGTATACTTAAAAAACTATTAAAATTCATGGCTACGTCTCACGGGTCTCCGAATTATTTTTATTTGCGAATTTGTGTTTCGCCTATTTAGGAATGTAAAAAAATTATTGAGCAAGGTAGTACGAGGTCGACCAATATTTGATTTTTCAAGACACAAAAATCTGTAAATTTTCCACAACATAAACACACACCTCCACGTAGTCGGACAGGTCTTTGAACGCGGACAACATTGGACCCTGAAAATGACCAAATTGTGATGAAAATTATGTTTCGTGGAAATGGCTAAATAGCCAGGTCATAACTGCATGAATCTGTACCATAAATCGAAGTAAAATATGTAAGATGTCTAGCCAATTTAAACTGTTTAAAACGTACAAAAATAGAAAAAAAAAATAGAAATAGTTCTTGGCAAGATAATACTTAAAAAATTTGCTTAATTCCATGTTTCAGCCAAATAATCTGTTTGGTGCGGTAGTGGTCCCTTAATCGATTCCGGGTTTTATAGTATATTTTTCTTCATTTTTTTGCACGAAAAATCCACCAATCATTATTAAAGTTTTTAATCGCAATATGCGGCTAGACCATGGAATAATGCAATCAATAAAAACAAGCATCCGAAAACTGGTGATTTTAAAGGTATCATCACGCCGGCTTCACTTTACAAACGTCGTTTTTTGTCAAAAAATGTTTCTATGGATTTTAAAGCAACTCATGAAACTTTCAGGCAATTGAGACGCTTTTAGGTGATTAGAATTATGCTTTTATAATGTTCTAGAAGATGATAGAAGTAGTTTTTTCCTTGAAATTTGGGAATTAAATTTAAATTAAATTACTACATTAAAAAGTGTGTTTTTTTCTAAAAGACATAGGACATAGAACATTTAAAGGGCGGTGTAAGCCACAAAAACCATACCACGATCCACGGGTGCTGCAGGGCCTCCTGGACGCTCATCCGCTTCCTCTTATCCTTGGCCATCAGACGGCAGATGAAATCTTTGGCCAAATCGGAAACATCTTCCCATGACGGGTCGTCGAAGTCCCAATCGGCTGCCGACACATTCGCCAGGGTTTCCTCGTCGGAATCGCCGAGGAATGGAGAGAGGCCGGAGAGCCTAAAAAATGGGATTTCCACAATGACCTCTGCTAGCTGCCCCCTCCCCCTCTCTCTCATCCCAAATGATCTCTGCTAGCCTGCCCCCTCCCCCTCTCTCTCATCCCAAATGATCTCTGCTAGCCTGCCCCCTCCCCCTCTCTCTCATCCCAAATGATCTCTGCTAGCCTGCCCCCTCCCCCTCTCTCTCATCCCAAATGATCTCTGCTAGCCTGCCCCTCCACCTCTCTCTCATCCCGAATGAACTTTGCTAGCCTGTTAAATTACAAGAAATGCTAGGCCACGAATTTGATGTTTCAAGAATACTATTGCACTAGGAAAATTAATCACGTTTAATACCAAGTTGTGTGCTGCTGCCATCCTGAATTTTCTTTAGACCCTCCCAAAGTCTCTTTGCTAGCTCGCCCAAATGGCAATAAATTTATAAATATATAATAAATTGGCGATAATAAAAAAATTTCAATTTATTTTCTTATCGGAATGATGTTTGACTAGAACTGGTTTAACGGTAAAAATCAACAATCAACAGTACGCGTTTCAAAAAATCTGGTGTTTTGTCTGCTTACGCCAATCCTAATTTTACTAACTGCGCAATTCCAATTGTTCCGTATACTTGTTTTCCAAAGGTTCGGTCTCATCTGTAATACTTTTTACTATTAATTCAATTACTATGCAATCTATTATTTTAAAGGGTGTGGGACACCTGAAAAAAAAAACTAGAATATAAATGAAAGATGGTACAATATATTAGGTCGTGATCTAGGGTCGCAACGTATCCTTTCTAGGATTTTCGCGAAAAAAGCATGTTTCATCCAAAATAGATGACGGGCGGGATTTAAAGCTATCCAGTTCTTTGTGAAGAATCGGAAATATACTTTTTAAATAATTTTAAACGGAATCCAATGGAATTTCTATTTTCAAGGGAGCGGGACACCTAAAAAAAGCCGAAGAAAACTTACAGAACGTAGGAGATCACTCCGACGGTCCACATGTCCGTGGCAAGGCCGACGGGCTGGTAGTTGACCACCTCGGGCGCGCAGAATTCCGGCGTGCCGAAGAGCAGCTTCACGCCGCGCTTCGGGTCCAGCTTCCGCGCAAGCCCAAAGTCGATGATCTTGATGTCGGTGCTGCCCTTCGCCTGGAAGTTTAAGCGTATTTTTGCGCTTTATGATTCAAATCTTAAATCAGCCATTTCGAATTTTCAAAAACGTTGTATTTTTTGCGTAAAAGTTTTTCGCAGCATAACCTTCGCAAGATTAAAAGCCTAAGCCTGAAATTCTGTGTTCAAGATTTTTGAATCAGATATTTTTCGAAAAAAAATGCATTAGAAAACTTCGTCATAAACTTTTTAAACAGAAATTTTTTTGTAATTAATGTGATGTGATGATTCAGCCAAAGATAAGAAGCATTTTTTGAGCTTAAAAATATATATGTTTCAAATTTTTCCCTTGTTCGGCTCTGTACCACCAAACCAATGTACGGCATGTTGTTAGTTTTCAATAAAACGAGTCGAAAACTCTAAACAAGATATAAAATGTATGTTCCAATCTTTTCCATTGTTCAGCTTAACTTCGAAAATAATTATATGGGATGACGAGAGATTATAACGATTATGATAATAAGATATTTTTGGCGTCAGAAATTTGGCGTAAGGTAAAAAATTTGGGGAAGATTAAATTAAATATATATGTTTTAACATTTTCCAAGCTAATTCGGTGTGTTTTCTCAATGCAGTAAAATAAAGTAATATCTACGAAAAGGAATTAAAAATTTATATTTTAACACTGCCTTTATTTTATGGGGTAATCCCAACGTAATTCGTTGTATATTTTCGGAATTCAGAAAATAAATTAATATCTAAAAAACGAGGCTTTAAAAATAGATGTTTTACCATTTTTCATTGTTTGACGAAGCTATCCCAGGCTAATTATCTGTTTTTCGTGACCTTTCGAACCAACCTTGAGCAGAATATTCTCAGGCTTCAGGTCGAGGTGGACGATGTTCTTCTGGTGCATATGCTGCAGTCCGAGCAGGATCTGGTGCATGTAGTCGCGAACCTGGAAAAATAGCATATTTATTGCTTTTCTTCATGATAGAGTAGAAAGTTTTATTTTAGTGATGCTCTATTCGAAAGCGCAAAAAATTCTGAGCAAATTCTGTAAAAAATTCTTTGAAAAATGTTTTTGAAAAACCGAGAAATTGTAAACTTCCAGATTGACTTTGAACTACATTATTTTTTTAGCAATCCATGCTTAGTGATACTTTTTTGAAACACGAAAGTTTACCATTTTTTGGAAATCGCGGCTGTGGTACTTTTAACATTTCGAAAGCACAGAATTTCCATTAAAATTCCCGAAACAACCCAAATTTATGCAAAAAATGTCGACATTTTGGCACTGGACATATTGCATTTCGGCATTGTGAATTTAGACATCTTCAAATCTCGATCCATTTCAAAATTCGGCATTGAATGAATTTCGGTATTATTTGTATCGCGAAGCTTTTCCCGGCCCTTTAAATCTTTAGGTTTTGTATTTCACATGTTCTCGCCTCTATAAGTCGAAATTTACAAAAAAAATGTCGATAAATCCTTTTCTGGGTAGCAAATGCTGCCTATTGTTTTGTTTCCGAGGTACCTGCCCTCACAAATTCAGAAAACATGTTAATTTCAACTTCATTAATTTGGCAGCCCAACATTTTCATCTCAAAATCAAAAGGTTATAGATTTTTGCCTTCCCGGTCCCTTTAAAGCCCTGAATTTACCTCGGGCTCGGACATGAGCGAGTCGTCCTCCATGATCTTGTCAAAAAGCTCTCCGCCCGAGACAAATTCCTCGATGAGGCACATCTCATTCCCGAGATCGAATGCCTCATGCAGGTGCAGCAGCTTTTCATGGTGCAACTGGTTCATCATGTCCATCTCGTGCAGCACGTTCTCTTTCTTCACGCCAGGGCGAACCTACCATTTATTAATCTTAGTTGTTTTGAAAAATACTTATTATTTTACGAAACCGCGAAATTCAAAATTAATATAGCTTTTTTTAATATCCGATTAGGAATATTAAAATATTTTAATAGTGATCGAAAGAAATATTCGCCAAAATCTCACGAAACATTTTATCTCAAAAAATCTAACTTTTAGTTCAGTTTTTTCTTTACAATGCAGGGATGGATTAATTTTCCATATCTTTTGAAAAAATATATTATTTTAGGAAACATGTGATTTTTAAGAAGTCTGACAATAGATTAGACTTTTTCACCTACTCGTTCTCCTCTTTTTAATGAATTGAATCGCATTACGCAATGATTTTTAATAGAAGAGATAGAACCATTGCTTGCATGAAAAGTTTTCCAGATATTTTTTGTTAAGAAAAGTTTGTTACCAGAATTAGAAATTAACGAACTTTTAGGGGCTTCCGCGATAACCTGTGTTTTACGAAACATGAAGTTTAAAAGATACCAACAACCCATGACGTCCCAAAGCCCCTTCCCCTAGGTATCTGTCAAAAGCCTCGTCGAGCTCACCTGGACCATTTTAGCGGCCCACGTCTTGCCGGTAGCGCGTTCGATGGCCCGGTAAACGGTACCATAGGCCCCACGGCCGAGCTCCTCGCAGATGATGTACTGGAAATAAAGTGTTTTAAAGCATGCCAACTAAGCCTTGTATTAATCAAATCTAATCGTAGTAACAGCTTTTTCAAAGGAGGAATTTTTGCGTCAAAGAAATCTTGAGTGGTATGGAATAAATTTTGTCCTACCTTTGCCTGCAAGTCATTCGGTATGCGGTTGAGGTCGACGGTCTTGTTCAGTTCGGCCTCGCCTACGGTCGTGTCCAGCTTTTCGTAGTCAACGGCTTCGGGCTAGAAATTTGGGAATTACAGTATTTTGAAAAAGTCTATTTCAAACAATTTCTGGGACCGCTACTCGCTGTAATTGGTAATTCCGCCAACTCTCCGTTTGGAAATTCTGTCCAATTCAATTCCTCAAACGGTCTCTGCTAGCCTGCCCCCTCCCCCTCTCTCTCATCCCAAATGATCTCTGCTAGCCTGCCCCTTCCCCCTCTCTCTCATCCCAAATGATCTCTGCTAGCCTGCCCCCTCCCCCTCTCTCTCATCCCAAATGATCTCTGCTAGCCTGCCCCCTCCCCCTCTCTCTCATCCCAAATGATCTCTGCTAGCCTGCCCCCCCCCCTCTCTCTCATCCCAAATGATCTCTGCTAGCCTGCCCCCTCCCCCTCTATCTCATCGCAAATGATCTCAGCTAGCCTGCCTTGACCCCCTCTCTCTCAGCCCAAATGATCTCTGCTAGCTTACCTGTTCCTCCTTCCTCTCCTTTGGCGGTGGGGTAACGACCTGTCTGGTGACAGATTGTACCGTAACCGGATCGGTCTCCTCCGAAGGGTCGGACTGCCCAAAGACGTTGTCGGCACGGACGCGGAAACGGTATGTTTCTCCGGCCACCAAGTGGAAGAGGGTGGTGAATGGCTGTTTCGTCACCTCGGCCTTCGCCCAGGTCTTGTCGTTTTCCTTAGAAAAAGGTAATGTTTCAATAGTCACCTTTTTCAAAAATAAAAAGCTGTTTAGGTTATCATTATGTTTCAAAAAATTTACAGGATCTGAATTTATTGAGAGGCTTAATTATACTTCTTGATCGGGAGGTCAAGCTTTCTAATCGCCGAAGACGGGTTTTATTAATTCGGAGATTTTTATTGAGTTACAAATACCAAATTTAGATTTGCGTTTTTACTTTAGAAACGTTAGAATAATTTGTTACGATGAAAATTCTACTATTGTGCGGAAACATAACAATTTTTACAATTCCGATTTTTTCGGATTATCACAATGTTTCAAAAATACAGCAGCATCAGAATTTTTCGGCAGCCTAATTGGGCGTTTGGCCGGTTCTGGAAGTCAAAGTAGTTATCACCTACAAAAGGTTTATTGCTTTTTAAATTGCAAATTTAAAATTGTATTTCTATTTTTTTCTTGGCTACAAATCACAAAACGATCTGATTAATAATAGTCTTATTACCATCAAGACCGACTATTTCATTATGTTTTAAATAATATTGTTTCTGAAACTTACAGTCTTCATTTCCACGATATAATTCCTGATGGCCGATCCGCCGTCCTGTTTCGGCACCGCCCATAGTAGCTTGACGGAGTCGACATTTTGATCTTGGACGGTCGGCTTTCCTGGCGGTTCCGGGCGATCGGTCACCTAAAAATAGCATTTAATATCAATATAAGTTAATTAAAATTATATACAGGTTTTGTCACAGAATTAAATTTACTCAAGGAATTTCTCGGCATTTTGTGGAGTCAATCCGTTGCTGTAGTTTAAATCAAAATCAATATTTTTTTGTGCATGGTTTAATTCTTAATGTTTCAATTTTTTCGGTAGCGAGCGTGGCCGGGTCATAAGTAATTGACGATCGGCTTTATTTTAAAATCGTTTTAAATCGCGTGGCCTTTCCATTAAATTTTGATTTTTTAGATTGAAAATTGGCTTTTAGGGGTAGTCAAGTCAATTTTTCGACGTTTCCACCATATTTATTCTGCGAATTTCGTTCCCTTGTTTCAAAAATTTTGGATTTGACGCAACGTACGCTGCTTCGTCGCTTTTACCAAGTCGTAGTCGAGTACGCAATGAAAAGGCGAACGCGTGCGTTGCGTGGCGTTATGCGTAAAAAACTGTACGAAATCCATAGGCATGCCTTGCAGGCCCCTTTAAAAAGCTGGAAATGCGAGCTTCAAAGGCCTGATCAATTCGATAGTGTCAATTTGACGGGTGCCCCCCTCTTTGAGCTGATGCGCAAATATAGTAAGGCGCAATTGGCGCCGCTCGAAGTTGCCAGCACCAAAAAGTTGCGTTGAATTTTCGTTTGGAGCACACTATTATCGCCTTATGTATATTGTTAACCGAATTTCCGACATCAACTAGGCCCATCTTTGAAAGATGCTTTTTTTTTTAATCAGTGGAAATCTTTTTTTGAATTTTCGTTTTGGGACTGGCAAGCGTCGATTGACCGATTGCTAAACGAATTTATTAGCTCGAATAGGCCCGTTTTTGAAATATAATTTTTTAAACGGCAGAAATTTTGATTTTTTGAGACGGACTTCCTATTGTTAAGCAATTCTTGGCGGGAGGTGACCAGACTTTTGAAACACACTTAGCTAATCTTTTGGATATAGTAAATGTACGCGTATTATAGAGATATTTATAGAAATTTATAGAAATAGATTAATAGAATTAGATTTTATAGAAATTTTGGGATTTGCAAAACAGTTTGTCGAATCGTCCTAGTGAATACTTTCATTTTCCTCAACTTACTGATCTAAAATCCGCGAGGAAGATTTTTGAAATATATTTTTTAGTTGGTCAAATTTTTGAATTGTAATTTTGGTTTTTAGAACCTTACTGTGTCAGCCAAAACCGAACGAGGCATTGTTTGCAAAGCCTTTGCCTCCGCTAGGAAATTTTTTGAAACATAGTTTGTCGTAATTACATTTTTTAAAGGATATTTTTGAAACAATCCTCAAATTTTCTGCCGACGTTTTCGAAACATGTATTGTTAAATCCCATTAACTTACAATTTTTTTCAGGAAATAGAAGAGGAGGGAAAGGTACGAAGAAATGCTGTCATTACTAATGTAGATTAAAATTTATAATTTAATTTAATTTAATTTAATTGAAGGAAATTTATAACTATGAATCATTTTTTAGACATTTTTTCCGCATTTCTCAAATTTGCAGCTTGGGGGCCCTCGGAATTTGAGGAATATCTCGGATCTCCCCGGATTTTTTTAATAATTAAACGAGATTTTTAGGCTATCTCTCCAAGCCCCGCCCACTTTCCACCAGGCGCCATGACGACGATCGGGTGGGTGATTTTTTTTTGGAGAAAAGGGATTTTACGGATAATTACGATCCACAATTACCACCAACTAACTATTTTTGATTACGAACATTTTTGAAACAGTTTTATTTTTTTAAGTGAAATTACGTAAATAATCGGGGTAGACTAGCAGAGCTTCCTTAATTTTTCATGATTCCCATAAGATTTACCAATTTTTTTAGTTTTGCAGAGCTGGGGCAGGCTAGCAAAAACGATTTAAGGAACTCAACATTTGCTTGGTGGTCAAGGCAGGCAGGCTAGCAGAGATTCCTTGGTACTTTTAGAAGGGCATTCAAGGGCTTTTCTACTAGAAACTAGTGTCCAGGGGGCCAATTGGGCCCCCAGGGCACTTTGCAGTGGTCTTTGGGGCCTCAATTCTTTAGAATTCGAAAAAGAACGTTTTGGCGGGGAGTTCCAGGTCAATTATTCGGATTTTTCTTTGCTCTTTCTCTCTCTCTCTCTCTCTCTCTCTCTCTCTCTCTCTATGCGGAAAATCAAAAATTATGTTTAAGCTTCAAGAATTGCTTCCGGGAACGTGTGTTTTGCAAAAAGGTCCTGCAGGGCTCTCTGACTACAACGAAATCAGAATACCTTTTCAATTACTTTATTAGGACTATAAAAGAGGGCGCCTTGGAAAAATAATGTTTCAAAAAATATACTTTAATAGTTTTGGAAAGTTATTTTAATATCGTTGTGGTTTCGATGAGTTTCAACTACTTTGAAGCATGAATGTTTTGGTTTGCGGAGGTAATGCGAGCGTCCCAGTAAGTTTCAAATTCCCCCGGATTTTTCCCGGAGCTCAAAAAACCCTCCGGATTCCTGAAACCAGCCATCTAAAATAGGCCCCTAGCACAGGGCTCGAAAAAATCAGATGTTTCAAATAGCTTCCAAGATAAATATTTTCTTCGCGGAGGCAATGCGGTTCGTTGTCCTCCGATTTTCCTGATTTCCCCATCCCTAAAAACCCTCCGGAAATGATCTTCGGGGGCGGTGTCCGGCCGCCTCGGACTCGAGACTAGCATATGGGGCAAGTCAAAATTTTCGCGCCCCACAAGCGGAGGGCTTTTCCTAAGGGAATTCCGGGCGAAAAGAGCGGAAAAGACATTCCGGAAAAACGGATTTGTGTAGAAGTCGTCCAGAGGAAAGGAACGGAAAAAAGGAGAAGGCGGTGGTGACAAATCCATCCACACCACCCACTCACCCGTCAATGTTCCCCAAATGGTCTCTGCTAGCCTGCCCCCCTCTCAATCCTAATTTTTCACTGCTAGCCTGCCCCTCCCCCTCTCTCTCATCCCAAATGATCTCTGCTAGCCTGCCCCCTCAACCTCTCTCTCATCCCAAATGATCTCTGCTAGCCTGCCCCCTCAACCTCTCTCTCATCCCAAATGATCTCTGCTAGCCTGCCCCCTCAACCTCTCTCTCATCCCAAATGATCTCTGCCAGCCTGCCCCTTGCCCTATCATCGTATTCCTATCCAATTTATATTAGCGCGTTTTCGGGCGATCACTAGTATTGTTGAAACCAAATTTACACGTTACACCCATCTACAGGTTTTTTAAACATATTAATTTTGAAAAAGATGTTGCAAAACTAAGCAAGCTTTTGTGAAAACCTTTCCCGTCGTTATGCTGCAGGCATCTTATCCTACTGATTTTCAAGCGTAAAAAATTTACCTGAATTCCGATGGCGTACTTGTCCTCGCCGCAGCGGTTGCGGACGCGGCAGGTAAATTCCCCGCGGTGGGCGATCTCGATTTTCTGGATGGTTAGGCAGGTGTTCAGGCCCGAAGTTTCGATCTGAAACGGCACATTAATAAGAGTGCCATGAAATATATAGGACCTTGTTTTCATTGTTCTTGGGTATCTTGTGGCTTTTTTACTCTGAAAGATGCTACCAATACGCCCTTTGGATACCATGTTTTACCGTTGTCGAACAAAACACATTTATTTCGGATTCTTACGATATGAGGTTTTTCGAACAAGTAATCTCTGCTAGCCTGCCCTCCTCTCGGGGTCCGTCCATTTCCTCAAACAATCTCTGCTAGCCTGCCCTCCTTCGGGATTTGAATTTCCTCTAATAATCTCTGCGTCAATTAATCCTCAATCCAAGGTGTCACTCCCCCTTTAAAAACCCAAAAAACGCGTTCTTACCTTGAACTTGGTGCCGTCGGCGATCGTCTTCCCCTGGTTGTCGATCCATTCGACTTCCGGTACGGGGCGGCCTGGAAAAATGGAAATTGTATTCTATAGTCCGGAATTTTTTGCTGTGAATGATTAATACGATTCATGCACGTTAGTCTCGTTAATTTCTTGAAACACTATTTTTGATTTTCCGGTTTCTTGAGTGTGCTCAGTTACCGCTGTGTACCTTATAGAATTTGTTCCCATCTATTTCTGTATTATTAAATTGATGTAATTTACATGTTATTATAGAAATTTTTTTAGGAAATTGAAATTGTTTTTTTGCTGGATTTTCGGCAACGATTTTTATGTTTGCCCTTTGCATATTTCTAGCATTTTTCCAACTTGATTTTAAGCACACCGCTGCGGTTTTTCAGGAATCGATTTTTCACTTGAGGAAGGCCTCCAATTGTCACGAGACAACACCAAATTTACTCTTTAATTTTATGGAACATATTTTCTATAATTTTGCAGTCTTTTATTTTTCAGTTCTCATAAATCTTCGATACCTCTTCTGATGCCTACGTGGGTATAAGCGGGGTGACTTTTCAATTTTCGATTTGCACCCCGGCCAAGTGGGGGTCCTCTTGAATCTTCGAAACACCTAAATTTAAGCAGGGAAAGAGAAAAAGAGAGAGAGAAAGAGAGAGAGAGAGAGTGAGAGAGGGCGAGAGAGCACGCGAGCGAGAGAGGGCCAACGAGAGAGAGCGAGAGCGAGTGAGAGAGAAAGAGAGAGAGGGGGAGAGGGAGAGAGGGAGAGATAGAAAGGGAGAGAAAGCTACACAGAGAGAGAGAAGCCCTCAAACCCCAGGCAATTCCGTGGGTATTCCGGGGGAACACCTATGGACGCAACCATGGGGGGGGGGGCTGACGAGCGCACCGGGACCCCCCAAATTGGGGACTTTTCGCTTGGGCCCCAACGAGAGGAAAACCCGCTGCCTTAAATGCCGCCCCGGGGCCCAGCAGCGGCATCGTGGGAAATTTGGGTGGAACTGGAATTTTTTTAGAGGCGGCTGGAGGCTAGAATTCAGGGGTTCGCCAAAATGAGGAAGTAAACGAGGCAACATCAAGGATTGCCAGTTATTGGCGCGTTTAAGAAAAATTTCGATTGAAAAAAGTGTTTCGAAAATTTCTAAAAAGCAACGATTTACCGGGTTTTTAATTTTGGCACGTTCATGGGGTAGATTTTTGTTCATCGGCGCAACAAATCGGGGGTAGCGGGCGTAGCCCGCTAACCCCTTTTGGTTTGCGGCAAATTACCCCCATACGACTCTTTGTGGGGTCCTTTTCCCGGATTTAAAAAGAACCATGCATCGGATCGCGAAACTGAATACACCATCGGAACCGGCGACACTTTTTGCATACTATAAGCTTTTAAAAACCGAAAAAAAGTTAAATTTCGAATTTTAACAGCCGATTTAAATAGCGTTTCGAGGGGGGGGGTCTGCGTTTGTATGTGGGTATGCACGCAAAACCTTTGTAGTCGTCGAAAAGTGCCTTCCCATGGTCCGTTTGGGCTGAAATTTTCCACATATATCGACTTGATGTAAATCAAGGTGAGGAAGCAGCGTTTTTTTTCAAAATGGGCTTTTAAGAAATTTATATTTAATTTTAAGTTTAGAAGTAAATTAAGGCCAAAACAAGGGATTAGTGTGAGGGTCCGTTTGAGCTGAAATTTTGCTCAAATATACATTAAACCTTGCACGCTACAAAAGTAAGAGAAGAAATTACATCGAGAATGCTTCTCCTTTAAGATAATTTTTAACTTTAAGCTTTTCGCATACGGGGCGCACCTCATTCCGGCCCAGATCCGCGAGCTCAGAGGACGGTCTAGCTCCCCCAACACAGGCCTCCCGTCTCTCAGTTGGCCTAGTGGTTAGCGCTGCTTACTGGGAAGACGGGACCGGTTCGAACCCCGCCCGCATCGGCCGGTTTTTTTGCCGATTGGCCGGAATGCATCGTTAAGGTTTAAGTACCGATTGAGGCCGCGCAGTATGCAGCAAATTTTTGAAGTATTAAGCGCTAAAGGGTTCATTTGGAATAAATATCCCATGACTTATTCTTATGATCTTAACAACAAGATTAAGGCAAAGGGCTAGATTCTCTCAAGGCTAAGAGTCTTTCAAAAGGGCTTTTGGTTTTCGCAAAGAGATTAATTCTCGTGGTAACAGAAAAAGATATAAATTCATGCGGCTTCTGAAAATGCCACAAAATGTGGGATCAACCAAAAGTTGCTGGCACTTTATAGTAAAAGGGACACTTTCTCGTTTTTAGCCGTTTTTGGCTTATAAATACAATCCTTTCTATGGTATGATCCGCTTTCTGTGAAATTAATCTGTAGACCTGGAACTGTAATCTAAAACAGTCCCAAGTTTAGTTAAGATTTTAATTACAGCAGCTTTTGGTTGTTCGTATTTTGTGGCATTTTTTCAGAGTTTCAAAGGAATTTAGCACTTTATTGCGACGAGAATTAATCTCTTTTATGAAAACCAAAAAGTTCTTTGAAAAGACTCTTTTAGCCTAGAGACGGTTTGCGTTTAACGGGCATTCTCCAATGATAAATTGAAAGAAGCAAAATTAAGAATTCATAACTATTGATTCGTTCAAGCAACATTTGAAGCAAAAAGTCAAAAAATTTCGCTGCGTTGGCATGACGTGGTAATTGTTCGTTCACCTAATTTACTCAAATAACCGTTGAAGAGTCAGCTTCTACTCCCTAGAAAAAAGCCGAATAAAATGTTTCGGAAACATTTAAAAAATGTTTTCGTTGTTTAAATTCTACTAAATCTGTTCTGAGCTAATTTGATGGAAAGGAACTTGTCTCGAAAATAAGGCAAATACTTCGAAAATTTTAAAAGGAGCAGAATCTGATTGATTACGCAACCGAGCCTGCTTCACTTAAACCCTCGTCCTCTCTATTCCTTAATCTGCTAAAATGTGTCACGAATTTCACGGTCGCGAAATTTCGACTGCCAACGCAGATCCGTGAATGTTGTAATTATTCTTGCAATTTTGCACCTCTAGCCTATGTTTATTGCCGGAAATAAAGCAAGTCCAGGTTTTGAGCAGTACTTTACTATGTTTCAACAATTTTGAAAGCTCAAGATTTAAAGGGCTACGAATCACAAATAAAAGCCCTGGGGAGGGCTCTGATCTGGCAAATTGCCAGCGGCGCGGGACAAGAGCACTCACTTTCGCTTTTGCGCGAAACTGTTGCCCAGTTTCTTGGGAAAACATCTATAATTTGGCATTCGAGCCCATTTAAACTCACCACTGAATAGTTTTGGTGTTTAAGCATCAAATTGGCCCAGAAACAGCCGAGCACGGATCGAGGTGACAACAGGTTATTTCAAATTTGCGAGAGCTCCTGGCCCCGGGGTGGACAGAGGCTCCGACGTCCAGGCCTCCGATTTCGGTCCGTCACTCAATTTTGGCATTTCTGGGCCCCTTTAAGGCGCTTGAATACCCTGGCAGGTGCTCCCAACACAATTAAATTTCCATATTTGATTTTACTATGTTGCGATTTCTAGCTGTATCAGTAGTAAGCATACTACTAGCTGATAATGCGGAAATGAATTTGCTGCTGATCAAACTTATTAGATTCTGCTTTTTCTAGAGCAATTTATACGTAATCTAGCAATAAGATATAACGTAGGTTAATTTAAGATACTGAAAAACTGGTTAAAAATTTTCACATGTTTCACAAGAATTTCTGAGTTAGGCTTTGATTCGCCACCCAATACATGACCTCATCAGGACTGATGGAAAACAAATAATGTAGCCCATTTTTCAAAATTATGGTATGTTAATTTCCCACAGAAATTCCCCCATCCGAACGCCACGGTCCCTCCTTACCCACTCCCAAAATCTAAAAATTCCAAACAGGATTCGCCCAAAATTGGCCGCCCGCAGCGGGCGGCAAATTGGAAAATTGGCGATTGGCATGGTGTCTCTGCTTCCTCACTGTCTGGCTCCTCACTCTCTCTCCTCTCTCTTGTCTCTCGCTCTCCTTGACTTGGCTTTTGCGCTAGATTGATTCGGGGGCAAGCTTCGAAAAGACGAAAAATTCGCGGGATTCTCCTTAGGGCCCAGGCAGAGGGCCGAAGAGGGCCCATTCTGGATTAGGGTCCCATCACGGCTTGAGGATGATGCTGATGATGAACATTAAATTTTCATTAGGCGACCCCCGGGGGGTTGAGGGGAGGGGGGTTTTGACGTGAATGTGGCGTAGCAGGCTTTGATGGAAATCTTTAAGAATTGAGATTTTTCGTTAAAAATGGTGTTCCGCTAAAAATTAGCATGGGTTGGTGGTTTCGTCTCAATCTCTTCACGCTCAATTGAGCTTATTCGGGTTTTCAAATTTAGCTTTGAATCGAGCCGCGGACTTTGATAGAACGTAGAAGTCACTCAATTTTGGATTAATCAATGGTTCTTCGGGCTAGTTTAAAAACAAGTTCATTATTAAAATGAGGGGTTTCGGAATGTGTTTCTCTTATAATTCGAAACTATAGAGAGTGCAGAAATGTCCCAAACATAGGTTTCATGATTTTACTTTTTGTCAGGCTCAGTTTGATAAATATTTATAGATTTCAGGCGATACGTTCAATTTGCGTCTAGTTTTTAAATAATGTGTATCGCCAAATTAACAATCAGTTTGAGTTTCATCACGCTAATCAGTCAGGTTGGTTTCGTTTACTGTTTAATCGTCCGCTTTACGCCTTACTCCGGCTTGGGCTCTGGCTGACAGTTTTAGCAAAGAATTATTTTTCGATGAATTCACGTTTTCCGGCCCGTTTAAAAATGCGTTATCTTGTAAAATAGCGGTATGCTGGAAAACAACCGCTTTAATGTCGATTCATTTTTGCGGTTCAGGTGTGTCAATAGTATAAGTATAACGTTTTATCTTTGCTGCTTATCTGTTGTTTTTAGTTTGAAAAGAGTTTTATCTGTTCAAGTTCAAGGTTTTATCTTGAAAATAAAAGGAAGATGCCATCGTCGATCGGTTTTCGGGTATGGTGTTTCGTAAGTAGAATAAAGCGGACAGTAATCCCGTTCTTTCATACATGATTTTCGTTTTAGAACCTATTTTCACGGTAATAGCTGTCATTTGATTGGGCTTGTTTTAAGCCATACCTTAATACCAAAATCCTACCGTTAAGCCAAGCAACTACATTTTCGTGTCGTCCTCGCCGGGACCAGAAAGGGGCAGGACGCGTTAACCCGTTTTTAGATGAATTGCCGTTGGACGGGCCGTTTGGGCCAAAATGCCCTCAAGCGATGCCCCGAAAACATCAACAAATATATATAGCTGCCCCTAGAAACATGGCGATAATTCATCTGAGATTTTGGGGGGGTGAACAGATTTTCAGGGGTTCACGAGGGATCAAGTGGCCTTTTTCCACCACGCGGAATTTCGTAAGGAATCTTTGCTAGCATCGCAAACGCCAAACGCGGCTTAACCGAGTCTCAATACCAAAATGATCGAAACATTTTTGTAAAAAAAACCTAAATTGTTCCATAAATCCAACGGTTGTTCTCATGTAGATAAAACGGCCTCTGCTAGCCTGCCTTCCTCTATACGAACTTTCCTAAAGAATCTCTGCTAGCTGGCATTTGCCAATTGTCAAGGCAAAATTAATGCACTAGACTGCGCCCAAAATACCAAAAATACCGAAATATCCTTATTTTTCGCAAATAATGCTTAGTAAAATTTTATTGATTAACGCGCACATGATTCCGAAGTTCCAGGCCCATTTGAGAAGTCCGTCTGCCATCTGCTCTTTCCCAATTTCGTAAGGGATCGCTGCTAGACTGCCCATTTCATCGAATCCAACAATGGCTACACGTTAACCACAGTATCCAAGATTAGTGCCTCGGCTCCGACCCTCAACACCTGGGTTTTTAAAACATGTTTTAGGCAACGCGTTTTGGGGAATTTCCTTGTTTGGGTTTGAAATCTTCGCCGAATTTTT